ATCGGGGTCGCTGGCAAGGGCGGCAGCTCCCGCCCCTGCACACCGATGGCGCTGTCTATAGTCTCCTAATGAGCCTCTGCCCGGCCGGGAAGGTGCATTTCCCAGCTGCTTACGAGTCCTGAGAGCTGACAGGCCCTGAGGGGTTTGCCCTGAGCTGACTGAGTCAGTCCAGCACCCCAGAGGCTCTAGGAGGAAGCAGAAAGCCAGGACCTCACGGGGGTGGGCAGTGAGACTGGCAGAATCCCAGTCCCAGTCTGCACTGTGCAGCCGGGGGCCGTTCCCAGGTGACTGCTCCTGCCTGAGCCTCGTTTCCACGTGTGCCAATGGGGAGTGGTCAGACACCCCTCACGGAGGACATGCGTGTGCTGTACCTGCTACTGCTCCTGGTCCCTCCCGTGTGCTCGGACTGGTGGGACGCAAAGGAGGGGCCCTGTGTCCCCCCGGGGTGCCAGGAGCTGCGGAGGGGATACAGCCCCAACTGCTGGGGATGCTCTCCCTCTCCAGGCGAAGACTCTTCCCTTAACACCCTCTTAAAATCTGCATAGCCATGGGGCCAGCTGTGCTGGAGGGGTTAAGGCACCGAACTCTCATATGGCAGACTGTGGTTTGAGTCTCGGACCCAGAAGCTTAAAATTCATGCCGGGCACAGGTGCGTGCGTGTGTGCCCAAAATCCTGAGAGGAGAATGGAGGAGAAGGGAGTGTGACGTGGCCATGGAGCTATGACATCAGCCCTGGGGAGCGACTTCTCACTTTCCCTCTCTGTCTCTTTCTGTGTCTCTGACAAGTGCATCTACCCTATACCAAAAATCTCTCTTGAAAAAAAAAAAATCTACTTATTCAACATTAAGGTGTGACTGAGTGGCTGCAGCCCGACCAGAGGGTGGGTCTCCGGTGGGGAGCTGGATGAATCCTGGGAAGGCAGGGGAAGCACTTCCTGTCATCGCCCCAGTCACCCCCAGAGGGCTAGACCGACTCCAACCCTGATGTCATCTTCTCTCTGACTCCGTGTGGCTGGGTCCCTTGGGTCTGGCCTCGTGTGGACCCATCACACAGCAAAACCAGAGGGCCAGTCCAGAGGTAACTCCGCAGACGGGCTACGACCCCTCTTGGTCTGCGAGCAGGTTACTAGTCTCTGGTCCCGTTTCCCCATCCATGAAACGGGCATGTCACTAGTGCCCACCTCCCAGGGCGACTGCAAAGTATAAACTCACAGAGGTCACACTGGGGTACACCTCGGCCCGTGCCCTAAATACGCCGTAATCTTAATACTATACCTGTCTCCACCTGCGTCGCCACGAAACTGTCCCCTCAGCAGAGCCCCGGGCCTCGCCCTCCTGGGTCTCGTTCTCACCACAGAGGCTGGTACTCCTGCCTGATGCTATCCTCTCAGCTCCCCACCGCCGCCTCCTCCTGGTGCCCCCGACCCCACCCTCCTCACTCCTCGCCTGTGGCGTTCCCCACAGGGCCTTAGGCACCTGACCTCCACGCCTGCTCCTGCGACTCAACCTTGGCCCTCTGTCCTCTGACGGTACCCTGCCCACCTCACGTCGCGTGGCGAAGCCGTGTTCACCCCTGCATTCTCCAGGCCTCTCAGCGGCAGCAGCTCGTTTTCAAACAACGAGCTTAACTTTTCTGTTTAAGGGTAGTTTTTCCAAAGTGGATGGCATATGGGCTGTGGAAGGAAACTTCATAATGCAAATCTGTGTAAGACTCTGACTGCTCAGGGCTAGCAGGTGGCCTAATGGTTAAGGTGCTGGGCTCTCACGTGGCCGACCGCAGCTCAAGTCCCGGATCTGGTGGCTTGCTTTCTCTCTCTCCCTCCCCTTCTTCCACTCTTTCTCCCCCTGTGTCTCTCTGGTAAATACACATGTCCTATAGCAAATTTTTAAAAAGAATAATAATTTTTTAATTAAATAAATAATTCTTTAAAAAAGAGAAAAGAACCTAACCCTGGACTAGCCAATGGCGAGGTGGTGAAGGTACCTGGATCTGACATGGCCCACTACCTGGTTCAAGTCCCAGATCTGGCAACTCGAAAAACACACCTGACGTGTACTTGTGCACCCCAAATCCTGAAACTAAAATGGAGAAGGGACTGCGGTATGGTTACCCCACACACACCCCGAGGTACTGCCTTACCCCACTTTGTCTCCCTGACCACGGTGCTGTCACTCCAAGGGCACCCCGATCACAGTCCTGCCACACCGAATCACCCCAGTCGTGGCCCTGCCATACCAAATGCGCCCTGGTCACAGCCCTGCCACACCACCTGTTGGCTACTGGGCAACAGAGGGGATGGGTTAAGGGCACAGACTCTAGACCCAGCCTGCCCAAGTCCAAATCCCGACGCCACCATCACCTGGCAGTAAGACCCTGGGCAAACCCGCCTCCTGGGTCTCAGTGTCCTCACCTGTCAAGTGTGGCTAGCAGGAACACCTCTGAGCAGGGCCTGGCCTGAGCCAAGCGCTACAGGGGCCTTGGCTGTACTGTGACACGGCTGTCTCCCCACGGCCTGGGAGCAGCCTGAGAGGGAGGCTTGGGTCTGATAGTTCGCCGTGTCCCCAGGACATCCAGTTTGGTGCCTGGTGCCTGGCTGGCTCAGAAGATATGGCTGCCGGGTTAGATTGAGCGTGCTCCGTGAGGCTCCCGGACGAGCCTTGGGAGGAGAAAGGCAGCAGGTTCGTTTTCCCACACAGACCCTGGAGGGCACCCCCTGCGTGGTGCCACTGGGCCTGTGGGTTATACTAGGCCGAGACTGGGACAGGTCCGCGCTCGTCCCTTGCTCGCGTGACAGCCTGGCCCCTCGATTAACACTGCTGTCAGTCACGTCAGTCAGTCTGTTCTCGGCCATGCCGAAGGGCCAGAGCTGCCGGCCATTGCAGAGAGGGATGAGGCTGGGGCTCAGCCTGGAGAGGGGGTCAGCAGGAGCGAGGAGACGGCCTGGGCTTCCTCTCTCCACCTGCACCCCTCCAACGAACACTGGCCTCCTCCAGACCTCAGCCCTCTGCCCCCATCCCCAGTCCCTGACAAAGCTGCCGACTGAGGCCCTGGAGCCCCTTCCCAGACAGGCAGGTGTTTGGGGGGGTGTCAACTGGCTCCCCAAATACCTCAGGGCAGGTGGGCCGAATTTGCCCAATTCCTCCCACACGTTTCTTCTCACTCCTCACCGCTCCTCCCACACCCCTGCCCCCTGGGTCCCCGCTTCCCGCCTGCCCGGTCTCCTTTAGGTCCTCCAGCCGCTCAGCCCCTCCAGGAGCCCCAGGCTCAGCCAGCGTGTGACAGGCTCTGGCTGGAACGCCCATTCCCGACCCGTTCTTCGGCTCTCTCGAATGCACACGTGATCCGAGCTCCGGAACTTGGGACGGCGGCCGCGATTACCTGAACACTGCACAGCTGGAGGCATGGCGCTGGGCACCGAGTAGGTGCGCGGTGACCGCCTCTTCTGTCCCAGACAACAGGCAAGGCGGGGAGTCAGCAGCAGCCTGAGGGGTTCTTAGAGAGGTACGGGGTGCCTGGAGATCCAGTGTGCACCCCCCCACCACATGTCCCATCAGCCAGGGTACCCTAGGCATCTGCACTGACACCCCAGTGTTCTGGCTGCAGTGGCCCACAAAGGCCCAGCCTGCCCACACTGCCATGAGTCCCTGCAGCTCCCACGCCAAGCTGAGCAAAGGCCAGAACGCTGGATCAGGCCTGGTGACTTCACACAGACAGTGCCCTCTCCCAGCGCCCCTCTTCTGAGGCCCCCACTCTCTCCTCGAGCTACCCATCATTTTCTCTTTCTTTCTTTCTTTCTTTCTTTCTTTCTTTCTTTCTTTCTTTCTTTTTTTTTTGAGAGTTTTGCTATAGGGCATGTGTGCTCACCAGAGAGACAGAAAACAAGAAATCATACTCCGGGGGGATGGCCACACGGCAATCCCCTCTTCTCCAGTCACCTCTTGGGATTTTGAGCACAAGCGTGCACCAGGCATGAGTTTCAAGCTACCAGGTCCAGGAGTCAAACTGCGGGTGACGACATGGGAGTCCAACAACATAACCATTATGGCATCTGCTGGTCCTGCTACCCACAATTGGTAATTACACGTTTCTTTGAGCGATTATTGGATTAATGTCTGCCACCTGCACCGGCATGAAAACACCATGAGGTGGGGTGAAGGGTGAAGATGGTGTTCCCTGCTGCTTTCCCAGCGTCCTGCAGCGGCTGGCGCATGGCAGGGGTTCGAGCGTGATCTGTGGACAGACGCTGAGTCTGGCGTTTCATGCACACCTGCGCCTCCCTGGCAGGGTGTGTCATGCGAGCTTCAAGGCAGCCCGCTGGGGCTAGGCGCATGCTTCATTTCCGTTTTACAGATCAGGAAACTGAGAGTGGGACCAGTCGGAGCTGAGGGTGGGACTCAGGGTGACGGAGCTCTTTAGCCACATTTTTAAAAAAACATTGCTATAGGATATGTGTCACCAGAGAGAGAGAGACAGAAAGAGAGAGGGACAGTGAGAAAGCACCCCCCAGGGAGGATGGCCACTCTGCAATCCCTTTTCCTCCAGTCTCCTCTCAGGATTTTGGGCATGTACGCACACACACCAGGTATGTTTCTCAAGCCGCCAGGTCCAGGACTCGAACCGCGCAGTTGACCATGTGGGATCCAGACCCCGTAACCTCCTTGCCAGCTGCTGGCCCCATTCAGAGCAGGATTGGAAACCAGGTATCTGGTATCTACACTCAGCAGTCTACATCCAAATAATGATGGCAACAGTGAGAGCTGACATGTAGTGAGACCAGGTGAGGCTGAATAAAACCCCACAAGCTCTTCGCCCCCACCCGCTCACCCCTCATTTAGGGCAGCAGGCTGGCAGGGAGCACCCCTGGAATCCTGATTCTCCAGAGTCTGCTGGCCAGGAGTTGGGCTGGTGGGGACCAGTGGTCCCTGCCTGCATCTAGTCCCTGTCACCTGCCACCATCTGCCCCTCCACTGAGAAAAATGAAGACAACCACTGAGTCTAGGACACGGCACCCAGGACACCCATCGGGGGTTTCCCTGGAATCCCAGGCACCCCACTTCCACTCCGGCCTTGGGAGTTTCTCACCAGTGGAGGAGGCAGACAGGGAGGAGGGAGGAGGGACAGGATGGGGAGGGGAGGGCCGCGAGGCCAGGAGGTGCAGACATTGCCCCGTGAGGGAGTGAGGGAGGCGAGGGAGCCTAGAGCTCACTGAGCGCCCCCCTGCACAGGGCACCAACGATCACGATCCCATCCCGATCCCGATGCCAGGAGGCTGTTCATATTCATGGGCTGACCGTACTGATGTGAGTGGGGCCTCCCTCACCCGTGCTTGGGGAGGCCAGGTGTGGGAGGAGCCAGAAGGGACACTTTCGCATCTCACCGATCATAGTCTCCGTTGCAGAGGGCTCTCACGGGAATGGAGAAAGTCTGCCACACCGGGTTGAGAGTGTTCTTCATGACCTCAGTCTTGTGGCAAATGGTGAACCTGGCGAAGGAGAGCGGAAAGGCGGTCAGGCCTCCCAGGGAGGCAGAATCCGAGTGAACCCAAGAGCCAGCTGGCTGACACCTCTGGCTACCAGGTGGTGGCAAGGTGAGGAGCTGCCCGTCACCACCGGTGCCGAGCTGAACTAGACAGCTGTTCTGGGTGATGCTGCGAAGGTTCCTGCACCAGGTGGGGACCTGGACTCGGGGCAAGTGTCAGGAGACTGGGGTCCCTTCCTCCCTGGGCCGCCCTTTCCTCCCCCGTGAGCCCAGGGAGTTGGCTTCTCCCAAAGATCCATCAGAAACCCAGGAAGGATGAGTGGATGGACTTCAAGGCCGCAAACTTGCAATGATGGGTGAAATTGGGCATGAGTTGTGTACGCCTGCTGGTCCCTTACCTGGAGTGTTCTCTCCCCCGTTTCTATCTTCACAGCTCCCCCCACACACACACCCACCCCCGCCTTTGGGTCATTTCTGAGAACGCTCCCCGACTCCCTTATCTGAAATGTACAGCCCCCGGCCCCCTGACTCTCACACTTTCTATCCATTTTTTCCTCATTTCATTGGTCACCATTTGACATTTTGACATAGTCTGTTTTTTTCCCCCTTATTTTGTTTATGACTTGTCACTAAAATATAAGCTCTGTAAGAGGAAGAATTTTTGTCTTTTTTGACCACTGGTCTATCTTTGTGGCTGGAACAATGTGTGGTATTTAGTAGGTATTCCATAAATTTTTGTTTTAATTGTCACTGGGCACACACACTTCCCGAGAGAGACAGAGACACAGAGACAGAGGGGGAGAAAGCACCCTCAATGGGGAGAGATCACGCTGCAATCCCTTCACCATTTCGCTATCCTATCGGGATTTGGGGCACACGAGCACACATGCCTAGTATGTTTTCCATGCCACCAGGGCCAGGATTTGAACTGCAGTCGGCCATGTGGGATGTGGCTCCCTTAACCAAGTTATGGAGCTACCCAGTATTCAATCTTTTTCTTTTTTTTCTTTTTTTTTTTTTAGAGAGAGATTGTTGCTATAGGGTGTGTGTGCTCACCAGAGAGAGAGAGAGAGAGAGTGATAACTCAGCTCCCCTCCCCGGGGATGGCCATGCTGCAATCCCTCCATTCTCCTCTCAGGATCTTGGGCACTCACATGCCTGGCGTGAGTTCTTAGCCACCACGTCCAGGACTCTAACTGCGGTTTACTACATGGGAGTCCAGCACCGTAACCACTATGCTATCTGCTGGCCTCTCCACCGTTTTGTTTTTTGTTTTAAAGGGAACCAATTAATGCATATATCTCTCAGGCTAGCCCCATGGCCTAAGGGGTAAGGGAGCCAGATCTCACATAACTGACCACAAGGGTCGAGTCTCTGTCCTGGTGGCTTGAAAAACACGCTGGGCACATGTATGTGTGTGCCCAGAATCTCAACAGGATGGAGAAATGGAGGAGAAGGGATTGTGGCGTGACCGTGCCCCCTGTAGGGTGCTTTCTCCTTCTCCCTGTCTCCCTGTCTCTTTGGCAAGCACACACACCCTCTGGCAAATTTAGAAGTATACACTTAGGGAGCGTTTTCCCACTCTCACCGGCATTTCCGCCCCATGAAACGAAAGCTGCTCACGTGGAGGATTCCTGAGGCTGGTTCGGCTTTTCCAGTCTGAATCTGTAAGCCTGCTCTGCAGACTGAAAGTGCAGAATTGGCTGGTCCCGGCTGGGCCCCCATCCAGTGTCCCTGCCCACTCCCCACGCCATGGCTGGCACGCCCTTCTCCTGGAAGCCAGCCCTTCCACATGGATGGAGAGCCAGGAGCAGAGCTGGCCAGGCACAGGGGCCTCTCAGATCTCCCCGCACCCGCCCAGCCACATCCTGGCCTGGAAAGGTCACCCCAGACGTGCTGGGCTCCAATGTGCCCACACAGCCTGTGCCATTTCTTCTCTGGTAATTTTCAAGTCAGAATGTCACTCCTGTCACCGTGGCTCAGCGTTTCTCTATTCTGCTTCTTCTCGCCCACCCGCTGGAGTGTAGAGATACGTGTGGGAGCCCTCCCCACACACCCTAGAGCCGGCGGTGAGGACAGGCATAGGGATGGGGCAGGAGGGGCTGCGGCTGCCCCTGGCAGGGTAGGCAGGCAGGGCAGGGCAGGAGGCTGGGGTGGGTGGTGCTGGAGGGGGACCGACAGGGCGGCTGGGGGAGAGAAGCCATACTGGGCTCTAAAGGTCCCACCCTGGGACAGCCACGCAGACACACGGACCCTCCCCGGGACAGCTGCGCAGATACACAGACCCTCCCCGGCCTCCCTATTCCTCCAATCACGGGCTCCTCTCCCTCTCTGCGCTCAGTGACATCCACACTTCTGGGCCAGTCTTGAAGCTCTTAGCCTAACTTTCTCCCGATTTGCTCCCTCCTGGACCCTGTGCAGTCTGGTTACTGCCCCCTGCCTCTGGCCTGAAACAGCTGTCTTTAAGCTCCCCAAGCTCGGCAGGCCCGTTGCCATGTCCACAGGCCCCTCCACACCCCTGCTGCACTGGTGGAGGGGCCGCGCCCTGCACAGAAATGGTCCCTGCAGCCAGCTCACCACTCAACTCCGCTAGTTCGGACACAGGCTCGGCCGAGGTGGGAGAGTGCTGTCCGACAGTCAGACAGCGGTGGGTCCCAGCCTCAAACCCCCTGCTTACCAGCTGTGCATCCCTTGGCGAGAGGCTCTCCCTCTCTGAGCATCCCTCTGTTGTAAGATGGGGATGAGAGCTGATACTGGCATAGCAGCCCTCGGTGGCCTGGCTGTGCCCCCGAGGGAATGGGGAGCAGGGAGGTCACGGCTGCGCTGTCCACATGGTGGCCACGAGCCACACACAGTTACTTACGTCTAAATTAATTAAATGCAATTAGATGAAAAACTGAGCTCCTCTGTTGGACCAGCCCCCTTTCAGTGCTCAGTGGCTGCCACATCCCGCAGCAAGACACAGGACACTGTCATTATTCTAGAAAGTTCTACTGAATTAGCAGCTTGCCTGAAGTTACTAAGCTAATAACGAGCAGGGCTAGTCCAGGGCCCAGCAGGCGGCCTGGCTGAGCAGAGCTCCTCACTGTCACATCGCCTCTCAGATGAGTTTCTGACACCCAATCCGACAGGCAGGTACAGCCCCGGGCAGAGCCTGCGTCCTTTCCCATGCCTCTTCCCCTCTTCCTGTGGCTCAGCCTGACAGCTGCTCCCCTGGTTCTCCCCCCTCCCTTAACTGGGGATGTCTCCCACCCCTTCCACTTCTCCCCCGAGCCCTGGGTGACCGTCCTGTTCTCACCAGCTCAGCCCCTCGGATCAGTGTCCCTAGTGCTCCCCTCTAGAGAGCTCCAGCCCACACTTCAGGGAGAACTTGCCCCCAGGTAAACACGCCCGCCTGCCCCCATCAGGTCCTTAGCCCTTTCCAGCACTCTGGGTGTTCTACTCCCAGAAAGGGGCTCTGGCTTGGTCCCAGCAAGCTCTGCCAGCAGGGTCTCTGGCTTTCCTCTTGCCCCATCCTCCCTCCCCCCTGCATCCCCAGGCACAGCCCGCCTGTGCTCGGGCACCGCCCACCTGCTCACCCTTACCCTCTCCTCTCAGCCAGGCAGCCGGGTGCCCCCCAGGGCTCCCTCTGTGGAGGGGCCCAGAGTGGACACCCAGAACAACACTCAGGCCTGTGCTTCCCCCACCCCAAGTCAAGTCCAAGTCAACAAGAATTATTTAAAGAAATGCTGCCTGGGAGCCCTTGGGTGAGAGAAGAATCCTTTTGTTATGCAAACGAGCGTACCTAATTTCCCTTGTTTTGTAGTTCAGGTTTAAAAATCGGCTTTCCTTGGAACTGAAACACACCTCCTCCCTGCCGCTTCCCTGCCCCCAGCGCGTGCTCACACGCGCGCGCACACACACACACACACACACACGCTTCCTCTCGCACTCAAGAATTGCAGCACGAAGAGGAATCTGACAAAAGCCTTTCTGCCCTCTGGGCACACCTGCTTTGCACACTCGCTCACCTCTCTTCCCCGTTCCCCCACCCACGCCCACCCATGGGCCCATTTCTCCCTCTCCTTCAAAACCTGCTTCCAAGCTGCCTTCCCGGTGGCACTTCTCTAATTAACCTCCTGGCCCCAGCCCTCTGCATTCTGCAGGATCCCAGCTCTGGACGGCGGTGATTAAAGACACGGGAGGCCACCTATTCCACCCCATTCATTTAGGAATGAGGAAAACAGACCCAGAGAGGGGGCACAGATTGCCTGGGGTCACACGGAGGGTTGTGGAGAAAGGACCTAGGTCCCTGGACCCTCCACCCAGAATCCGTCTCTCCATATATTCTGGTGACCTACATTCGCCAGCGCGTTGTGTATGTTTTCATTATGTCGTGGGTGGCTTCTAGATTAGGGAGAGAAGAGGAGGAAACAGGGGCTTCAGGACGTCTGGCGTTTTGAATGAAGCCTGTGACAGAGTGTGGGGCCGGGCAGGGGCCTGGGTGTGCAGGCGGCTGTGGGTAGAGGGGCTGGGCTTGGAGATCGGAACTGGTTTGTGCAGAATGAAGGGGCTCTCAGAGGGTACCGGGGGACACTGGGCCCCTCATTCCTGTCCTAGCCCTGTTTTTGCTCATACACCCCCCAACATACCTACCCCACCATTGCTAATGGCACTGCCAGCTTAGAAGCCACCCCCAGCTGGCACCAGCCCTATCTAAGTGGTCAGGACTTGGAGCCCAGGCCTCCACCCTGAGGCCCTGCCCTCTCTAGAGTGGGGGCCCCTGGGCACCAGAAGGAGCTGGGCACAAGCCACCCACCAGGCCGGCCAGCACAGACCACCCATCCCCAGCCCCAAATGGGCGAGAAGCTTCGTGACGAGCGCGGCTGGAACACTCACGTCCCGTCCTCGTTGCTTCGGTAGAACACCAAGAAGGGGTCCGACTTTCCGAAGAAATCCTTCTTGTCCAACTTGTTGGCACAGAACTGCATCGTGGCAACGTCCTGCAGGGAGTCGGGGACGGGGGTGTGAGGCAGGAGCAGGGTGGAAAGACAGCCCCAGGCCCCTGGCAAACACGAGGAGTCCAGGCATCTGTCAGAAAGGACAGCGTCTCCCATCCGCATGCCGAGCCAGGCCCTGGCCAACCCTTGGAGATTCATTTCGTCCTCAGCCCCGTGGCCTAGCCACAGCGGCTCAGGGAGTTGGGTGCTGCTGCGCGATTCTGGAACTATATGGAGGCCCAGGTTTGGGTCCCAGGGTGACCTGAACAGGTACCTGTGATCCTGACTGGCGGGAAGCCTGGCGGATGCGGGTGGAGTGTGTGGCATGGTGAGACCCTGTCTAATTTTCTTTTACGAAAGACAAAAAAAAAACCCAAAAGTTTAAAAAACAAAAAATAGCAGCCACGGTGGACCAGCTGGGTGGTGAAGCAGGTGGGTTCTGGAGTCAGGGAGCCCCCGTCTGAATCCGAGCTTTGCCGCCTTCTAGCTATGTGACCTCGGGCAAGTGGGGTCACCTCTCGGAGCCTCAGTTTCCCTCTGTGGCCTGGGGTTGTTGACAGTGCAGCCATCCTAGGGCCGCTGGGAGGACTAGAGGGAGTTCGGGGTGTGACGTGCTCGGTGGGGTCTGGCGCAGTGTCCCTCAATGAACGTTAACACGTGTGACTTCACTTCTGCTTTACCGAGCGACTTGGGCAGGTGAAATAACAAGCCAAGGCCACCCGGGATTGACCCGCTACCCCAGAGCCCTGGCTCTGTCACACGACCGCACTCCCTCGCAGCCGCGCAGCGCCTAGAAGACATTCCCCTTTAAGCATCACTCTCACACCCACTAACTCACGAGAGGCCCGCCCACGCGGTGCTCTAGGCAGCCTTGGCAGGGCCTCTGGCCTAGTTTACGACTAAGAGACCAAAGGCTTGCAGTGGGAGTGATGTCCCCAAGTCCACCGAGCAGAGCCCACTTCCTGGCGCCCCAGACCTGGTCACAGCCCTAGCAGACTCAACGCACACCCCAAGAATGTGAAGAAGGTGTCACAGCCCTAGTGGGGATTGCAAGACCCCTCCCTCATCTCCCAGGCCAGCAGGGCACTGGGTAGAGGCGCCCGAGTCCTCCTCTCCACCCCGGTCCCATGTGGCCTTTTCAACGTGGAAATCCCACATCCCAGGCCAGCGACGTGGCCCAGTGGTTAAGGCAGCCAGGTCCCATATGGCAAATCCCATGGTTCAGTCCTGGACCCAATGGGTTGAGAAATATGCCAGGCATGTGTGCGTGCGCGTGTGTACCCACCCAAAATCCAGAAAGGAGGGAGAAATGAAGAGGGGATTGCTGCACGACCACTCCCCATGGGGTGCTTTCTCCTCCTCTCTGTCTCTGGTGAGTGTGTGCACCCTCCAGCAGGAAAGAAAATAAGGAGGGAGGAGGGGTGGGAGGAAGGGAGGGAGAAAGCAAGCGGCTAACTGCACCCTGACAAAGTGGTCAGGGCTTGGGGCTCTGTCCTGCAGACCTGGGGCTGGCCTGCTCTCCGAGGCCGTGTGGGAAGTCACTCAGCTCCCTCACGTCCCCGAGCTCTGAGTCCAGGAGGGGGTGCCTTGAGATCAGTGAGCCACAGCCCAGTGAGGACCAAGTGGTTGCAGAGACAGTGAGGCACCCGCCCACTCTCCCCCCCACTCAGCCCCCACGAGGCTGAAGGACACAGTGGAAGGACTGAGCAGTGTTACGGTGATACGATGGCTTCCACGTGGTTGCTGGAGCCCAGCTGCCTGCTTCAGCCCCGTCCCTCACTAGCGGTGTGACCTAGGGCAAGTTGCTCGCTTTCTCTGTGCTCCGTCCCCTCATGTGCACAGCAGGGGCAATCACGGTGCTGACCTCATAGGCTCAGGAGAGCTGGGGAGGCTGCCGTTACTATTACGGTTATTCAACATTCTTCCCTCCGCACACACGCACAGTGTGTGCCCGCCCTACCCCACCTCCACCGCCTCACATGCTTTCCCTCAAGGATGTGATGACAGCAAAACATCTCTCCATTCCCTCAGTCATTCAACAAACGTTTATGAGATACTATTGGTGGGAACCAGCAGTTAGCGTAATGGCTATGTCACTGGACTCCCACGTAGTCGACCGCGGTTCGAGTCCCAGACCCGGTGGCCCAAGATCCCGAGAGGAGAATGGAGGAGAAGGGATTACGGCGTGACCATCCCCCCTGGGGGGTGATTTCTTGCTTTCTGTCTCTATGTCTCTCTCTGTCTGTCTGGCGAGCGCACGTGCCCTATAGCGAAAACCTTTTAAAAAACAAAAGAGATACTATTGGGGGCAGTCTCTGAGGGAGGGGCTTTACGACTCTTCTAGTCTTCCAAAGAATCCTTTCGTTACTTTTTACAAACAAGTAGGCTGGGGTCAGGGCAGATAGGTAACCTGCCCACCACCAGCAGCCGAGAACTGGTAGAGCAGAAATCACACACGTATGAGCTCACTGCAAAGTCACGCTTCTCCCAGCACCCCAGTCTGCCTCCCCGAGACACAGCAAATTACCTTTCTCCAGACCCACTTCCCTATTTTCTTTTGCATCGACTGATTTCCTTCGACTCTGGGCTTGTACAGGCAGGGAGGGGCTGCGCTGGTTAGCCTGGGACGGACGCAGCTCCTCAGCTGGAGGTTCCGAGGACCGAGGGCTAAGGGCAGAGCAGCCAGCACCGAGAGGCACCAGGCAATGATGGCTTTCATCACGTCTCTCACCACAGCCCACCAGAGATGAAGGACGCTGAATTGAGGCCTTTCAAGACCCTAGATGCTCTATGAATCCTGGAGCCTCTGGTAAAAGCCAGAACTTAAGGCCTGAAACTTACTGAGCACTGGAGCTGGCACGTGGCATGGTGGTTAAGGGCGCTGGACTCCCACATGACCAACCATGGTTTGAGTCCCAGACCTGGCAGCTTGCTTTCTCACTTTCCCCCTCTCTCTGGCTCTTACTCTGTCCCTCTCTGGTCAAATTAAAAAATTAATAAAGTTAAGTAGAATAATTTAAAAAAAAAAAAAAAAGGAAAGAAAAGAAACTTACCAAGCACTTACTGCCAGGTTGTGGGGAAAGTCGTGACGTATTTTTTATGTTTTTCTACGCAATAATGCACCATGACTTTCCCGACAACCCCACAGATGTGAGCCCCCATACTTCATATGACCCTAGGAACTCACTCCTCCGGTCTTCCCATTCTACAGATGAGGGAGCCGAGGCTCACCAAGGTTAAGTCACTTGCCCAAAGTCACACAGTGAGTTACCCAGATAGTCAGCTTCAGTTTTTCTTACCTAGCTAGGGAACTCTCTAAGTTTCTGTGGGATCAGGCACACTTCACCGGAGAAAGTTCCAATCCCATCCCACGTGGGCAGCAGGGAACCCTTCACTGTCTCCCCAGAGAGCCCCATCCAATGGCCTGGAAAGGGAGGCCTAGAACCCGGTGGGCTCCTTCCGGGACTGGCTATATAAATGGTGGGGCCCAGAGCACAGGGAAAACGTGGAACCCTCTGCTCCAAAGAAGTCGGAAATGCCCAGCTGAGGGCAGCAGAGCCCAGACCCAAGCACAGGTCACGAGCCCATGAAACTGGTCCTGGCCGCCTCCTGCAGGGGCATCAGAAAACCACTGAGAGAAGACCAGGCTCAGCTCCTCAGAGCAACGCAGGCAGCTTCAGTGAGGGACCCGGAGCTCTGCGTTCCAGGCCTCGGCTGGCGCGGCCGTGAGCGAGTCCCCCGAGCGCTCGTCTATGCAGTGGCGTGCTGGATGAGAAGACCACCACAGTCCTGCTAAGTGGAGCTGTTTAGGATTCAGTGTGGATGTCACACGGGGAATGCTGGGGCAGGACAGCAGCTGGGAAGACAAACAGTGCTGGCACCCAGGGGCCCTCCAGCTTTCCCAGGACAGTTCGGTTGTTACCACAGAGACCTCTCACATACCCAGACGCCCCCTGTGAATCACTCTGGTCTAAATAAACACAGGCGAGCTGCCCACGACATGATCAGCCTGCACTGGTTGAGTGTATATTTGCAACAACCAAAACAGAGGCCAGGCAACCTAGGAGCCAGAGCTCTTACTTTTGCTCCCTAGGAAAACCCTTCGAAGCCCTCCAAGATCAGGAAGGGGGTAGAAATGTTCAAAAGAACTGGGAACAGCAGTTGGCATCATGGCTATGTCCCTGGACTCCCATGTAGATGATCACGGTTCAAGTTCCAGACCTGGTGGCTTCAAATTAAAAATCATGATGGGCACATGTGTGCACATGCCCAAACCCCCCAGAGGAGAATGGAGGAGAAGGGACTGTGGTGTAGCTATCGCCGCTGGGGGGTGATTTCTCTTTCCTTCTTTCTGTCTCTCTCTCTCCTCTCTGGTGAGTGCAAGTGCTCTATGCCAAAAACCAGAAAGAATGAAAGAAAGAAAGAAAGAAAGAAGGAAGGAAGGAAGGAAGAAAGAAAGACAAAGAAAAAAGAAAGAGAAAGAAAGAAAGAGCAAGAACTAACACTTGAAGCGTGCCACGTGCCACGGCGTTGAACCATGGGAAACTGCCAATAGGCGCTGCTATTTGCCCACGAACACGGCAGCGTGATGAGGCGCTACGTAACAGGTGCCAGGCGCCGTCTGTATCTCAATGAACTTTGATCTCAACAAACCTATAAGGCAGGTACTGTTATGATTCCCGGGTTGAAGATGAGCAAAGTGAGGCACCGAGAGGTTAACACCTTTGCTCAAAATCACACAGCTAGTAAGAAGAACTGGGACTGGAACGAGACGGAGACGGTCTGGCTGCTCCAAAGATTAAGAACTGGGATTGGAACAAGACAGTCTGGCTGCTCCAAAGATTTATAACAGAGATTCTAAATGATGACCCTGCATCATCAAGATAAGTTTAATTATGTTCTGTAGCCTCAGTTTGTGAAGTCAGAGAAGTGTGAAATCCATTTTAGAAAGGTCCCTGTGCAAACTATTAAAATTGAAAAAAAAAAAAAAAGGTTGGCTCTGA